CTCTAACCTGGGACAGTGGTGTAACAGAACAACATAAGAACGAACTATGAAAATCAGTTGAAAAAGACTCAACTCATCAGATGGATACAAATATAAATACATCTAACAAAAAAACAGAGTGGACGTGGCCGGATACTTGTATATCCCAACAACAAAAAGACACTAAGTACTGATCTGAGAGTACTCGCAGTTAATGACAGCTAGTTCAAAGCCAATAACAACTAATAAAAAAATCATGCATCTAAGTTTTGCATTTAGGTAAAGATTGAAACAAACTGTGATTAAAAAAAGAATGATTTACTATTATTGGATAGTAACGATTGTCCATGAAAAAAGAGTAATCTTGACCTAATTAATTCTGGTTAAGATACATTAAGTCATAGAAGAATGATATCTTTTAGATCGCACTTCTTTGATAACAATGGACCTTGAAAAAAGTTGGTCGCCTCGACCTATATTTTACGCACGATTGGTTAATTCTGATTACAATTTGTGTTAAGGTCCAGATGATAGCAACAACACATAAAAGAGGAATGCTATTTGTTACTGAGCACTTCTTTGATTTTATTGAATGTCCGCACAAAATTTTTGTAACCATATCAGAAGCACAAAAAAAAAACGACACTCGTTATTATGTCAATATATAATTGTAATATAATTATATTAATGGAGAACTACTAGTTTTGTGTTACTGTGAATTCTTCTCGTTGTTGTTATTGGCGTTCTAATTCTTCTCACATAAAAGCTTGTCTATAGTCTGGGGATTTCTGTTATTTTTGCTAACAATTTTTTTTCCATATCCCATGTTTGGATCAATGTAAGAGGTTGAAAATTTCATATCTGAATATTTTTCTTTATCTGGAAAGGTACTTTTGACGATGGATCTTGATTGTTTCTGTGGGGCTTCTTTCTCCTGTATATGGATCACTCACGGGGTAAAATTGGAAAATTGTCGAAACTTATTTGACTTTTATTATGTATAGCATAGTCCGAATTATATACTTAAAAGGATTAAAATTCACAAATTGTTATTTTGTACTTAAAATTGCTGAGCCATGTCTTTTAAAATAAGATTGAAAATCGTATATGTTTAAGTAAAAATCTATTTCGAATAACATCGATGACCAACATTAATAAAAAACAAAATACAATGAACAGTATACTTCTGACAGATATTTGGTTCTCCTTGAAAAATACTGGGTCATAACACATAAATTGCAGTCCCGAGTAATCTGAAGATATTTATTAAGAGTTAAATGATCAGAAATGCACAATTATATATGTGTATAAATATATATATTTTAATACGACCGCAAAAAATAAAAAAAAAAATGGTCGTATATTGCTATCACGTTGTCGTCGTCGTCGTCGTCGTCGTCGTCGTCAGCGTCCACCGAAGACAGATGGTTTCCGGATAATAACTTTTGTATAAGTAAATAGAAATCAATAAAATTTTAACACAAGGTTCATAACCACTAAAGAAAGGTTGGGAGTGATTTTGGGGGTTATGGTCTCAACTGTTTAGGAATTAGGGGCCAAAAAAAGGGGGCCCAAATAAACATTTTTGTAGTTTCCAGACATTAAATTGTGTTTAAGTGTATGGATCTCTCTGAAATTATACCACAAGTTTCCATACCACAACGGGATGGTTAGGATTGGCTTTGGGGGGGGGGGGGGGGGGGGGGGGTGAGAGGTTATGACTCAAACCGTTTAGGAATTAGAGGCAAAAAAGAGGGAAAACAAGGGTTTATTGGTTAATGGCCAATTAAGACAATTTGAAACCAGTGTAAGGAAGGTAATCCAAATATATTGAGGTAATCCAAACATAATGTTTGATTACCTCCCTTACACTACTTTAAAATTATGTGTAAAGAAATTTTTTTCTCTAATTTTTGTGCTATTTTCACATTTCCTGACCGGTGTGAGAAAAATATTTCTCTAATTCTTCGTCAATTTATCCCTTTTTCTGCACCCATTGTATAAAAAAAATTTAATCAACGTGTGGTTCGTTTGATCTCAGTTCATCATTGGTTAAAATCCGATTATGACGTCGAATTTTCTTGCTTTCCTCTGAATTTTCTATTTTGACGGCATGAAAAAAAGCGACCATGTCTGATGACGTCACATAGAAAGAACACATCTTTTTGCAGATCATTCGAAAAGAAGGAATAACTTTGCCTGCATATTGTTAGAAAATCATTAGAGAAACAGATTCCACCACCAAATCTCGTGTAATACGATATTTATCCACTCTCGACAGTTAAATTTTAAATATTTAAAACGCTCGGCGAGCCTCGCGTTTTAAATTTGAAAATTTAACTGTCTCGAGGGGATAAATATCGTATCACACTCGATGCAGTGGTAGAATCTATATTTCTCATATCAGATTTCAGATATTAAAAAGAAAATTTCTTCATATATTTTTTTTTTGAAAAAAAAGTGTGGGATACATTTTTCTTTTATTTTTCGGGTTGGGGTCAATATGCAACAGCATAGTGTATTGCACAAAATCAAAAAAAGGGGGGATATTTTTTTTTATTTTTTGGAGGGGGTGGGGCAATTCGCAACAGCGTAGTGCAAAAGCAAAAAATTAAGTGTAAATTCAAATTATATTACCAATTCTAAGTTCTTTGACTACAGTTATTCTGTGTCAGAAACCTATTATGTGTCAAATATTTAATTACAATCCAAATTCAGACCTGTATCAAGCGTGAATATTGTATCCATTTTTGTCCCAACGGTTCAGGCTTGGACCTCTGCGGTCGTATCCAGCTGCGCTCGGCGAAGCAATTTATTAAATACTTAAAGTATATACATATTAAGTTGTGAATTTGATGAAACTGATCATCAAAATAAGTTAAAAATGCCCTGGTGTGGAATAAATGTGTGGTAAATTGATCATACTCCTTAATTTCCTTATTTCAATCAGTTTTAAATATTGTATACTGCCTTACTGATAACATGACTTTAATAACTGTTTCAATTTGTTTGCTTGGCAACAATAATTATGGATTCGGTAATTTCCGCTAAAAAAAACCCGAAGTTTACCGAATTTGAACCACCACCATCACTCACATACATCAATCATCATCATCACCATCACTGATCATCACCTTCATCAACAAAAAACGTATAATGTTGTGACCACTGCATATAATGTTGTGAACACTGCGTATTATGTCCCGACTACTGCATTTAATGTTTGGACCACTGCGTATAATGTTGTGAGCACTTCATATAATGTTGTGAGCACTGTATATAATGTTGTGAGCACTGCATATAATGCTGTGAGCACTGCATATAATGTTGTGAGCACTGCATATAATTTTGTGAGCACTTCATATAATGGTGTGAGCACTGCATATAATGGTGTGAGCACTGCATATAATGTTGTGACCACTGCATATAATGCTGACCATCAACATAAGGCAGTTACGGCGTTCAATACAAATACTTGAGTTTTGTTAATTATATCATGAAGCTACAACTGGACTGATCATACCGTTAGGTAGACTGTAAATATCTCTTTCATAACATTCGTTCATTTATATATTCGTATCGGGACAAATTAACAATAAATCCAACACGTGTATTTTTATCTTCATAAGTGGTATATCGGAATGAAGGGTTTTTCTTACTGTCACTGAAAAAGAGGATATTTTTAGAGCTGGTGCTGTTTCAACGTACTACAGATCCCTGCATTCCGACCTGTTTTTTAGCTCACCGGGGCCCGAAGGGCCCCATGTGAGCTTATGCCATCACTTGGCGTCCGTCGTCGTCCGACGTCTGTCGTCTGTCGTCTTCTGTTGTCGTCTGTCGTCGTCTGTTGTCGACTGTCGTCGTAAACTATTTCAAAAATCTTCTCCTCTGAAACTACTGGGCCAAATACCTTCAAACTTTAACTAAATGTTCCTTAGGGTATCTAGTTTATAAATTGTATCCGATGTTTTGATCCATCGACAAACATGGCCGCCATGGCAAAAAATAGAACATAGGGGTCAAATGCAGTTTTTGGCTTATATCTCAAAAACTAAATCTTTTAGAGCATATGTGAAATGGGGTAAAATTGTTTAATTGGTCAAGATCTATCGGCCCTGAAATTATCAGACGAATCGAACAACCCATTGTTGGGTTGCTGCCACCGAATTGGTATTTATAACAAAATTTTGCAGTTTTTTGTTATTATTTTGAATATTATTATAGATATATATATAAACTGTAAGCAGCACTAATGTTCAGCAAAGTAAGATCTACAAAAAAGTTAATATGACCAAAATTGTCAATTGACCCCTTAAGGAGTTATTGCCCTTTAAAGACAATTTTACACAATTTGTTCATCAAGTTTGCTAACATTTAAAAATCTTCTCCTCTGAAACTACTGGGCCAATTACCTTCAAACTTTAACTAAATGTTCCTTAGGGTATCTTGTTTATAAATTGTATCCGAAGTTTGTATCCATCGACAAACATGGCCGCCATGGCTAAAAATAGAACATATGGGTCAAATGCAGTTTTTGGCTTATATCTCAAAAACTAAATCTTTTAGAGCATATGTGAAATGGGGTAAAATTGTTTAATTGGTCAAGATCTATCGGCCCTGAAATTATCAGACGAATCGAACAACCCATTGTTGGGTTGCTGCCACCGAATTGGTAGTTTTAACACAATTTTGCAGTTTTTTGTTATTATTTTGAATATTATTATAGATATATATAAACTGTAAGCAGCAATAATGATCAGCAAAGTAAGATCTACAAAAAAGTTAATATGACCAAAATTGTCAATTGACCCCTTAAGGAGTTATTGTCCTTTAAAGACAATTTTACACAATCTGTTCATCAAGTTTGCTAACATTTAAAAATCTTCTACTCTGAAATACAGGTGAGCGATTCAGGCTCTTGAGAGCCTCTTGTTTATACATCACACAATACAAAGTCAACGGACGTATACGAATGGATTTTTGTTTAGGAGCCATATAAGGGGTTTTCAAAAAAAGACTCACGAAGATAAATCAAATTTAATTGTGTACATAAATGCCAATAACAGAAACAAAATCAGTCACTGCAAAAGAATAGAGAAAAAAGGAAATATCTGTAATTTTGATAAACATTATCAAATAACAGCTTTATCACATAGTTTGTGTAAATAAGAAATAATAATACTAATGTTGATATGTCATGCGAAATAAATATATTGATATTAAAAATCGATAAATAAACATAGATTTCTACAGATTTCATTAACAATTGTGCACATATATTAAAGTGTCCATATTGTAATTAAAAAATTGAAAATCTGTTATCACATTGTTGTACAACCTTTATGTTGTTAATAAAAAAAAGGAACTCTATAGTTTTATTATCAATTGTTAATAATTAGCGAGATCCAAATAAGAAACGATATATGGGTTAAAATATTTATATATATCAAGGTGTTTGTTTCAATGTTGAAGTAAATCAAGATGAACATCAGCTGACCTCCCAGTTTCATTATCCTTTCCTTCCACGATTAATTCTGTATCACCAAAAGTTAACGAGACAATGACTTGTCGATTCATTCCTTTAGAAGTATCTGGCATTTCTACTCTAACCTTTCCTATTTCTTTACAACCTTCATCAGTAGTATATCTCGGATCTTTCTCATTTGTTTGGTAAAGATTTAGAGTCATTTCTTTCATGTTTGGACGAAGTGGAAAGACATCGTGGGCAACTGTCTCGCCAAGCATGAACTCTGACCCAGCTTCACAAAGTGTGTGGAAAATATCTTTGCAGTAGGGAACTCCACCTTCCACCATTTTCTTGTCTTCAGGGTCCATCTCTTTCATGAAGTATCTCAGGTTTCGTAACCCAATTGTCTTACTAGCAACTCGACAAGAAACGATCCTCGGATGGTGTCCGTAAAGAACAGCTCCTTTTAAAACAACTAATCCGGCTTCAGGTGGAATAACGATGTTTTTGGTTGGAAAAGCCTTTTTTACAAGTAATTGCATTATTGTTGATTCGGCAAACCCGCCAACCATGATGACATCTTGCACCTTATTAGCACCAGCAAGATCTAGAACTGTTCGACAATGTTCAATTATACTTTGAATGCACGGAGAGAAGAAATTTGCCATCACTTCTTTCGGAAACTTAAGCTTATCTTTCTTCATTTCTGTATTGGTTGTTGCAAATAAACTGATGTTAGCTTCTGAAGCTGTCTTCTTCATTGCTTTCGTGTAGCGATCTCGGAGGTCCATTGGTATATTAAGAGTAAAACGACCCTGTCCATCGGTACCAAGTTTACGTTTGACCATTTCGATACCTCTTTCAAGGTCAAGATAATCAGAGGTAGATTCGGCTTTAAATTCTCCAAGGATTTTCGGGGTAAAGATTTTCTCGAGGAATTTGTATATCTCGTCGTTTACATATAAGCCTCCCCATGCCCCACCACTAGCCTTTGTAACTTCTTTCAATGTTCTGTCTGGCATTACTTCTCTGACGGTAACGTCTACCGTTCCTCCTGCAATAGATACCCTAAACAAGTTACTTTTGAAATAGTGCTACATAGTAAATAAAGTGTACATGTCAAAAAAAAAAAAAAAATCAAGACAGATAGTTAGCACCAAAAGAAAAAGTCTATTAGATTTGGAGCTATTTTACTTCCTTTCAGATACACATTCATTTTGTTTACTGACATCATTGAAAAAAAAACATTGTAATTTTGCAATATTGTATCACCATTTCTTAGTATTCACAGCAATTAATAGAGCATGCAGAATAACATTTTTAATTTGATGGATACATGTAAAAAGTAAATATAGGTATATTTTTTAGATTCTTTAATGTGCAAATTTAACTTGACGTACAATTTTTCGAATTTTGACCCTCTGTGTAAAATGAATTCAAGGGAAATAAGCTCAACCTCCTTCTTAATGAAGTTAATTGTATTACCTCCTAAGTCAAGCACCATGTATCTTGTCCCTGAGTCATATGGTGACAGGGTAGGACCTTCATCTTGGTCTCGTTGAACATTTACATTCATATGTTTAATGAACACTGAAGCAGCCTCTGGTTCTAAAGCTAAAATTAACTGTTCGGTTGGTATTCCTGCCTGAAATGACATTTCACAGTACAGTCAATTTGAAGAAAGTTTACAGCAAAATCTATTTTCGTTGAAATGTCAATCATGCCTTCTAAATATATTGTGACAGTTTTTTTAATTTGATTTTGTCCCTGCATATATATTTATGTATTCATATATGAATGAGTACTGAACATACATTTGGATATTTGTTCACGAGTACAAACATTTTGTTGAACCATCAGACAAGACAATTATTTTGTGTTTATTTCGTAAACCACAATCATATAAGTTCATATAAAATACCCCCAATAAATTGTTTAAAAAATGTTTTCTTCATCATTTCAAATAAAAAAAAAAAAACAGGTCTCTCCTACAATTAACAGTTTTTCTGGTATTAATAAAACTGGAGAGAATACTTTATAGACATATCAGAATAGAAATATAAATAATTCAACTCAATCAACAAATTAACCAGCTGATAACTTTGTATTATCAAAAATACATAAACCTCTTTTATACGTCTTTTATAATCATCTGAAACTATTATCAATGTCCATAGTTTTAAAACATTGACCAATGATGATGACATGTTTTAACTATATTTTGAAATTTCCAATATACAAAATAGGAAGAATTCTGTCGTATGACCAGAGATCGTACATGACTGTTGTATACTCTCTTCACTTACACGTTTAGCTGCCTCTCTCATAAATTGTTTGGCAGTAAAATCCCATATTGCTGGTACAGTCAATACCCAACAAATTTCCTTTTCCATGACCGCTGTTTCCAACACTCCTTTATTCCGAAGTTCATCCAGTACTAATCCTTTGATGTACGATATCGAGTGCTTGAAAACTTCCAGTGCTGGGAGTTTAATTCCCTGGTCGGTTCGTAATGATATGGTGCGATTAATTTTCTGTAAAATAAGATATTCTGTTAGTATCATAATATTTCGATCATGTCGATGTCAGTGAAAAAATAGTCGCACATATCTCTGGAAAATTATCACATGTGGCATTGATTAGTAGTTTGCTTAAATTTCTGAATCCATGTTTGAAACACAACAAGCTTTATACCGAAAGCATTTAATTAGGTCTTTCCACTTTTCTGTGGAAAGACCTATTGTTTTTGTTCTGATTATTATTATTTTCTTCCGCCAAATTTTGTTCTCGCGTAAAATTTTTGTTTCGCAATATGTCGCTAAGATATTTCTTATATAGTATCATACAGTTTATGCGCTTTTTATTTTCACCCATACTAAGCCGAACAATTTTCTTTGTAAGAGTTATCTCCCCGAACACTGTTTTCCTTGTGACTACATCTCCTCCGTAACCGTAAAAGAAAGCGACAATTTTTTTTTTTTTATAAAATTGCTCGTTATATCCTTCGCATGATTTGTCCTATTTTGACCGAAGCGATATAAACACTCCATATGAGAGTTATTTCCCCTTATGTATTTGATCATTAGTGATATGCATTTCTATCTTGTAAACCATAAGTGATAGAGACCTAGGATTTTCTGATTTGAGGTCCTTGGTAATACAAAATGAAAATTAGGTCAAGGTCAAAGGTCAAGGTCATATTCTAAATTTTGATTTTGGCTTATTTTCACTTATTTCCAAAAACCGTTTAAGATATCGACAAATTAGTTTTACTAAACTGTTAGTTGCGACATGTCGTAACATGTAAATTTTGATTGCAAGGGTACGTTGGACGTAAAAGGGAGTTTTCTCCCCTCTTGTATTTAAAAATACACGTATGGTGATATAACTCATTAACCAAATATAATTAAGACCTATAGTCTTTTTATTTGAGGTCCTTGGTTTATGACCTTGAAATTGATCTCAAGGTCATAGCTTAATTTGACGTTCTAGATTTTGACCTTTACTTTTACCTCATATGTATACATGATAAAGCCATGAAACTTTTTGCAAGAGGTTTCAAACCATTTAACCTTGAAAAAAACAACCGGAAGTGACCTTGTGTTAACCGGAAGTAACTTTTTTTTGTACTTTATTGATATAAAAGTATATAGAACCAGATATTTTTGGAATCAGTGTCAAGTAAATATTCAAATAGTATCGGAAGTAAAATTTTTCTAACCGGAAGTAAGAAATTATCTCCCTTATTTAAAACAATATTGTATAGAAACCATATATTTTCGGAATCAGCGTACAATAAGCTATCATTTGACGTTTGAAATGACATTTTAAACCTAATTTTACTTCTTTCATATTAAAATACATGTTTTTTTGGTGAAAAGACCTTCAATTGTTCTCTGAAAAAATTGGTTTTTAATTTGTTCATATTTTTGTGTTCTGACTCTTGAATATTCATACCTAGAGCTCCGTTGATAATTTTTGAAATTAAGATATTTAGGTAACCCCTCTGGAAAAAGTTGACCTTATAATGGGGGTTTGGCTAATCTTTTTTTGGTCCATTTGATCATGTAGTTTTTGTCGACCTTGCGACTTTTGTCGCAGAAAGCTCGACAAAGGGATAGTGATCCGGCGGCGGCGTTAGCTAACTTCTTAAAAGCTTTGTATTTTAGAAGGTGGAAGACCTGGATGCTTCATACTTGGTATATAGATGCCTTATGTTACGAAGTTTCCGTCTGTCACATGTCCATTGTCCATGACCTCATTTTCATGGTTCAGTGACTACTTGAAAAAAAAGTTAAAGATTTTCTGTAATGTTATTTCTCTCTTATAATGAGTAATAGGATAACTATATTTGGTATGTGCGTACCTTGCAAGGTCCTCATGCCCGTCAGACAGTTTTCACTTGACCTCGACCTCATTTCATGGATCAATGAACAAGGTTAAGTTTTGGTGGTCAAGTCCATATCTCAGATACTAGAAGCAATAGGTATAGAATAACCGGTGTATAGAAGGACTGTAAGGTGTACATGTCCAACTGGAAGGTGTCATCTGACCTTGACCTCATTTTCATGGTTCAGTGGTCATAGTTTAGTTTTTTTGTTTCGGTCTGTTTTTCTTATACTGTATGCAATAGGTCTACTATATTTGGTGTATGGAATGATTGTAAGGTCAACATGTCTAGGGGGCAGGTTTTGTCTGACCTTGACCTCATTTTCAATGTTCAGTGGTCAATGTTAAATTTTTGAGTTTTGGTCTTTTTTTCTAATACTATATGGCCGGTTTTATTTGACCTTGACCTCATTTTCACGGTTCATAGCTCAGTGTTAAGTTTTTGTGTTTTGGTCTGTTTTTCTATTACTATTAGCAATAGGTCAACTATATTTGTTGTATGGAAGGATTGCAAGCTGTACATGTCTGCCTGGCATGGTTCATCTGACCTTGACCTCATTTTCATGGTTCATTAGTCAATGTTTAGTTTTCTTGGTTAAGTCTATATCATAGAAACTATAAGCAATAGGTCAACTATATTTAGTGTATTGAATGATTGTAAGGTGTACATGTATTTCTTATTTGGTTTATATGACCTTGACTTCATTTTCTTGGATCATGTTAAGTTTATGTGATAGTTGTAGTAAAGCTTTATATTTAGAACTATTAACATGATACCAATGATTAGTAAAGAAGGCGAGACATTTCAGCGTGTGCACTCTTGTTTAAGTATTCAACTATAAAAGTATTCATACAAACTTGATTTCAAATTTGTGGGTTTGAGCGCTTCTAATGAAGTTTAATCCAGAAAAGAGGTCCGAATGCACCAAATGTTATAAGGAGTTATTCTTGTTAAAGTTTTCTTCAATGTTCAATATACTTGATAGATCTTGTCACGCTTATCATTCCTACAATTTATGGTTTTCAAGAGAAGTAAACCTTGCCATTCCAATCTTATCTTTATTTTATTATCAATTTTCAATTCTAACCTAGATACTACAGTTTTCGACCCAAGAACTGCTAACAGAATAACATATTAATATTTCAGGAGCAATCACTCTAAAACGGGTTGTAAGATTTTTCTGTTTTGTTTTTAGGTAGTGTGTGTTGACCAATTCAACCATTTTGCAGGTTTTTCTTTCATTGCTATAGTTTTAGAGATACTAGCCCCAAACTGCAGTTTGACCCCTATGTTCTATTTTTAATCATGGTTGGCATTCGTTCTTAAACGATCTAAACAAAAATTACGGACTCAGTTCCAAGTAGACTTCTATATGTATATTGATAATTATTTCTGTGACTGTATCTTACGATCCTTTACGATAGATATTTAGCTAATCTGCAATCAATTCCATCTTCATGCCTAATAGATCATGTACTGTGTTACAACTCTAGATTCTACTGACGAGGAAAGGTAACACTAGGCCACCGAATGCTGAATTATTAGTTCAGTCTAGGTGGCCGAGTGGTCTAGAGCGCTGGACACAGTGCAGGCGGTGTTGTCTCGATAACTCAATAGCATGAGTTCGAATCCCGGCGAGGAAAGAACAAAAATTTGCTTCCAAATTTGCAGATTTAACATTGTTGTGCTGATATGTAAAGTAATGTGTTTTCAGCCGTGTATCACCTTCACTGGTGATCCAATGGATGGGTTTGTCGTACAGTTGTCACTTGTTTAACCTTGTTTAACGTACTTATTATAATAATATATATATAGAAACAGACACAATTTGATTGCGCTTTCAGAATAGGTGATTTGTAAAGAAAAAAGATTATGGAGGACATATGAATGGACGACATATGCAGTGATACCAATTATAACTCACATGAACCGCTGAGCCAGCGAATCTTTTCCCCAAACACATCTTACAAGTAAAAATGCAGGGGAGCTAAAAAATAGAATTTGGCTCCTTGAAGGCTAAATCTGAAGTCAATCTGGTTTCAGAATCTATCATAAATAATATAGCGTATGTGAACATCTCAGAATCTATCATAAATAATATAGCGTATGTGAACATCTCAGAATCTATCATAAATAATATAGCGTATGTGAACATCTCAGAATCTATCATAAATAATATAGCGTATGTGAACATCTCAGAATCTATCATAAATAATATAGCGTATGTGAACATGATTTCATATTGATGTTATTTTTATACCTCATGATAGAGTGTCATCTTGAAATGTTTAAAGTAGTACCATCCAGTATGTTTATCTTCTTGAGCAAGTTCACTGTATTTATCCTCGGCATCATAACCAAAACTGTGAAAGTTTTTATCTTGATCTAGCAGGAGAACGGTTGGTGTCTTCTCTGAAACTAAAGCTGGACCTCCACCAGAGGAACTCCAGTGTTTAGTCCATATTCTCAAAGGCTCTGACAGATAGGTATCACGCATAGAGAACCCAAATCCTGTGTATGTTGTACCGAAATCAATGGCCGCTACCATTAACTTACTAGGAACTTGTTTTTCAGGGGCAGCTGCCATTGTTCCCTATAGTTTCACAAAACGTGAGTGCCCTTTACTTCACTGCCCCAGCCATTCTGAAACATTTCAAAAACATTGATTCAGTCTTAAGATTTTTATAAAGTGTTTTGTGGACGTTTCGTCGCCTTTCGGGTTGTTTTTCCATTAGCTTCGACTTATTAGTTTTGAATGTCCCCTTGGTATTTTCCGCATCTTTGAACGAGGAAACCCTTTTATCATAACCGTGACTTAAAGGTAATGGTCAATGCCTTTTACAATTATAAATGAAAATTGTAACATTTTAATTTACAGACAAGTTGCAACCTATACGAATACTGCACGTTACAGTGAATTTTATTCAGATAAACTTCTGCAATTTCAATATTTGTCATTAAAAAAACACTGTAACTGTATATGATATGACGCATGTGACATTCGGACTGGTTTTACTAAAAGTTATATATAATTACGATCTTTAAAGGCTACCGAGCTGTGGTCATGATTTTGCTGAACACTGCTTTCCAAAAAATAAACTGAAAAAGTCAAGTATTAGAAATACTTTTCAGTCTATTATCATGAACACAAACTCTTTTAATTTGATCATATAGTTTTTGGCAAGTTTTGTATTCCCATTTGGATACAAACGAAAACAGGAATTTTCGGATATTAACAAAAAATAATCCGATCTTCCAGCATGGCTCTCCGTTGAAGTCTAAACTATAAAACCTCGTGCGCCTCAACATCTGTAGTAAAAATAAGCGTGTTTCTCTCTGCAATTTTTAATGCATATTTCACAAAACACAAATTACAAATCAATTAATTAGTTCATGCTTTATTTGGTATTCCAATAAATACAAACAAAAATTCCAACTTTAAGGGGTACATTATATGATAAAACGGATTCTTTTAGCTCATCATGCTCATGACTGACTGATAACTATACTTAAAATAATATGGTTCGATAGCTAAAAAGATTTATAATGAAATAAAAACCTTCGTCATTCTTGATTTATAATGGAATGACGTGTGTCCAATCTGGATATCGGATTGATTGGATTCCAACTCAAAATATCAAATTATAGACACTAGGAACATGAACATGATATTCTATATCAATTTGATATAAATCTTTTTGTATGTTAATTGACTTTCACAACTTGCATGGCATTCTGAGCTTGTCGATTAATTTTTCATATATTGGTTTTTGATGGCACAATTCCTTTTTAATATGGCTGTGATCATATAACCATCGGAATGGTAGTAAAAATAAAATTGTAAATGACTGATACTTACAACTTTGTCATGGTTATATTTACCTTCCTTAATGTTAACCAGGGGAGATAACCAAAACAGTTTTTACTCATGTATATATATATATAAATATCAATAAAATAAATATGTGATAAGAAGCATGAATTTCAGCAACGTAACCGAATTTGGCAGCATATTTTTTTATTTCTAAATTTTCTTATATTTTTAACATTTGAGTCCATGTAAAACTTTTTTTAAAATACTGTAAATAGATTAAAAATTAAAAAATAAGTTTTCAATGCTTCAGTATTGCTAATGGAGATATTTGAATAAATCCAACCTCATATCAATGCCGATATTTTATCGCTAAAAAAGGCTAGCTGCCGAATTGGCACCTGCACGGTCGCCGAAAAGCGACTGGAATATAGTTTGAATTGGAAACTATAGGCTAATCCTCATTATATAAAACACAAACTCGTTTTATGTAAATATATATGTGGATGCCCTGTAACAACAGGTATGGAAATTTCAGGTTCAGTAGTTTTATTCATTACTAAAACCGAATAGAGGGGAAGATGTTATAGCACTACAAGTGGAGTCAGAAAGTTTGTTCCCCTTTTACCATATATTTTCAAGCTTAACATTTATTCCGTTATATATTTACTACCCCTCACCCCTACAAACTACAGAAAAAAAATAATAACAAAAACAAACCAAAAAAAAAAAATAAATAAAAAAATAAAACACAATAAAAGCAAAAAACCTATAAACCACAAAACAAACCAAATCAAACACCCATATATGTTAATTTTATTTTATTACTTGATGAAAAAAAATTCATTTATCAAATTCACTACTATTTGATTAGATTATTATCTTGATTAATATTATTATCTGATAACTTTAAATACTGTTTTAGTATATTACGTCAATCTTTACCTATTCAAGCGGTTCATCTCACCCAGTAAATATATTAATCTATGTACAAAAATATTGAATATATAAATTGTCTCCCAACAGAAGGAGTTGCAACATATCGTTTGTACAAATATAAGAATTCGTGACCATGGCGATCAGAAACTTTTGTTGTGATGACATTAGTCCAAAGTGAGGGTAATTTGACTGTCTAGTGAGTAATTTGTGTGAGTGAGTTATTTATATGTGATTGTACTTGTGTTCTGTCTAGTGAGTTATTTGTGTGTGGCAGTACTCACAAGTTGTGTTCTGTCTAGTAAGTAATTTGTGTTCTGTCTAGTGAGTTATTTGTGTGACAGTATTTGTGTTCTGTCTAGTGAGTAATTTGTGTGACAGAACTTGTGTTCTGTCTAGTGAGTTATTTGTGTGTGGCAGTACTCACAAGTTGTGTTCTGTCTATACAGTAAGTAATTTGTGTGACAGTACTTGTGTTCTGTCTAGTGAGTTATTTGTGCGACAGTATTTGTGTTCTGTCTAATGAGTTATTTGTGTGACAGTACTTTTATTATATGTTCTATCTAGTGAGATATTTGTGTGACAGTACTTGTGTTCTGTCTAGTCTCGGTCATACGGGTAAATTTCTACGCAGATATATTTGATATTTGAAAACAGAAATTGTAACGTTTATAAGTTCTGTGTTTAACAGTTTCTTATTGACAAGTCTTTGATACGAACTCTGGTCCGTAGGTAGCCTGTTACAAGGTAAAATTTCTTTTCTTATTCAACATACAAAAAATTAATTGTTTTCCAGTGGCAGTCCAAATTTTCAACTCTTCATCACCGTCGTCGTCCCATCGAACAAGATGCAATGTATTTCTAAAAATTAAGCTTGAACGGAATTTTGCTACCATTTCATTTTCAAAAGATATTTAAAACATCCATGCAGATAAATACTGTATACATACTGAAATTCGGACTATTTTACAGACAAATTTTATTTTGATTTGAAGTACACATATAGAAAAGTACTAACGGAGGCGCCAGGTTTCGATCCTTGGGCTGCTACGGTGGTCATTTAGGAAGAAGTCTCTGTGTATACAGATAAACAACAAAATATGTCATGTTTTTCTCTTAATTTTTTTTAAAACCTTGGCATTCCATACATGTCCGTAGGTAATAAATAATTTGACAGGATATCGCCCGAATGAGCTAGGGGTTGGGCAGGTATAACGGAATACGGGAATGAGGGTGCGGGAAGCGAGGATCAGGGGGTGGTAATCGCGGGAAAAGGGAGGGACCGGGAGAAGAGAAGCATTAAAGAGAAAAGAGATATGCTAGGCAAGTCCAGAAGTAAGGATGGGTTATTGGGAGCGGGGGATGGAAGTGAGAATCAGGAACCCCTTGTTCACCATTCGTGGATTGGTGTTGTTTCTTTCAATTACATGAATAAATTAACACAATATTTCAAACTTAAACATGCAAAACATGACCTTGTATTTTGATAACAAACACTACCATATATATCGGTTCTTATCATATTGAACTGAAGTTATCCCCCTTAATAACAAGGAAGTACTTTATGTATTTTGAAAACTGAAACTGAATTCATATTTATTCATTACTTAACAGGAAAAATGAGTGAGTAGATTTTCTTTAAATGATTTAATGACACACATATATGAAATCATATGTTTTTGTAAGTTTAGTTCACACAGAAATGTATGTTTTATATCTTAACCTGTAGATATATGATCAGATACGGGTGTAATTGCACTTATATAAAAATAATATTACACAGTTTCAAATAAGCAGAACAAACCGAAAATGTTCACAGTTACTGTACAATACAGAGTACTGCAGTTTATTCGGAACCCAAAATTGAAGAACATTATAAGAATAAGAATAAGAATAAGAATATTTTATTTCCAATTAAAGGGCCCTATAAAGAGCTTTCATCACATTACATACAAGTACATAAGATTAGACATAAATTAGAGACATGTAAGAAAACAACATCGTTTAATACTATTAAAAAATATATTAATGTTTAGAAATATAGCATAGATGGAACTACATGAGGGTCTGGATGGGGGTCCTTTGTGTCTGTATTCTTTTAATTTTTTTAAGTCATTGTTATGTATTCTTTATTTGTTTTGCACATTATTATCTATTCTTTATATTATTGCCCCCCATTTTTCTCTATTCCTTTATTTTTTGGGCCTATTTTTCTCAATTAATTTTGTTTGCCCTTTATTCCTTTTCTGTTAATCCCATCCAAATCCTCATGTATAGAGTAATCATCAACACAAATATTACATTATGGGCTTAGGCCATTTATCTATGCCTTTGTTCAAAACCACATTCAATCATTTAGGTCGAACTGACCACAAAACAATGAGTGACATATCCGTGACATATCCGTGATTTATTACTTTTATTAAAATTTTCATGTTCACAGTAGTCACTGGCTGGACACACAAGGTAATCCTAGGTGTGGAGGTGGGGCTTTCTCGTATTTACTATCCCTTTTACTTACTTCCTCAACGTAATCCAAATTTCCCCTTTTTTATACTAGCCTCACACTTTTTATTGTCGAGCCCGCGAAATTTATTTCGTGAAAGATCCTAGATTCCGTCGTCGGCGTCAGTGTAAACATTTAGGTTCAGTCTGTGGTTAAAAATTTTTAATGGACATCAAATAACTTTGTCAAACCTACATGGAATTTTATGAAATTTGGACAGAAGCTTGTTTATGACCAAAAAACAGTATCGAGAGATAAATTTTGAAAATATTTATGTAATTATTTTTCCGTATTTTACTAATAAATGGACTTAGTCTTTTTACAGTTAATATTCAGATTTAGTCTGAGGTAAAAGTTTTTCAGTCATCAATAACTTTGTCAAACATTCATGGAATTTTATGAAATTTGGACAGAAGCTTGTTTATGACCAAAATACAGTATCCAGAGCGATTTTTTTCCTGTATTTTACAGATAAATGGGCTTAGTTTTTTTTTACAGTTAACACTCAGGCTCAGTCTGAGGTTAAAGTTTTTTAGTCATCAATAACTTTGTCAAAGCTTCATGGAAATTTATGAAATTTGGACAGAAGCTTTTTTATGACCAAAAGACAGTATCCAGAGCGAATTTGTTTCCCCCGAATTTTACTGATAAATGGACTTAGTTTTTTTTACAGTTAACATTCAGATTTAGTCTGAGGTTAAAGTTTTTTAGACACCAATGACTTTGTCAAATCTACGTGGAATTTTATGAAATTTGGACAGAAGCTTGTTTATGACCAAAAGACAGTATCCAGTGCGAAATTTTGAAAAATTTTATTTTCATTTTCCGTATTTTACTGATAAATGGACTTAGTTTTTTTTTACAGTTAAAACTCAAGCCAACGCTGAGATTAAAGTTTTTCAGTCATCAATAACTTTGTTAAACCTTCATGGAATTTTATGAAATTTGGACAGAAGCTTGTTTATGACCAAAATACAGTATCCAGAACGATTTTTTCCCTGTATTTTACAGATAAATAGGCTTAGTGTTTTTTTACAGTTAACACTCAGGCTCAGTCTGAGGTTAAAGTTTTTTAGTCATCAATAACTTTGTCAAATCTTCATTGAAATTTATAAAATTTGGACAGAAGCTTGTTTATGACTAAAAGACAGTATCCAGAGCGAATTTTTTCCCCCCGAATTTTACTGATAAATGGACTTATTTTTTTTTCCAGTTAACATTCAGATTTAGTCTGAGGTTAATGTTTTTTTAGACACCAATAACTTTGTCAAATCTACATGGAATTTTATGAAATTTGAACAGAAGCTTGTTTATGACCAAAAGACCAGTGCGAAATTTTGAAAATTTTTATTTTCATTTTCCGTATTTTACTGACAAATGGACTTAGTTTTTTTTACAGTTAACAATCAGGCCCACTCTGAGATTAAAGTTTTTCAGTCATCAATAACTTTGTCAAAACTTCACAGAAATTTATGAAATTTGGACAGAAGCTTGTTTGTGACCAAAATACAGTATCCATCTAGCTAAATTTAAAAAATATTTATTTTCATTTTTCCGTATTTTACTGATGGATAGATTAAGTTTATTTACAGTTAACAAGTAGATACAGTCCGGTGTTAAAGTTTGTTACACAGCAATTACTTTGTAAAACCTTCATAGAGTTTTATGAAACTTTGGCAAAAGTTTTTAAATGATTAAGAGATAATGTCTGAAGCAAACCTTTGAAAATATTTTTATTTTTCATTTTAAGTATTTTTTCTGATAGATGGACTTCGTTTCTTACAGTTAACATACTACAGACAGTCTGGGATTAAATTTTTTTACATGATAAATGTGTAAACCTTCATGGATTGTTATGAAACTTGGACAGAAGCTAATCTTCAAGACCAAGAAATAGCATCTAAAGAAAAAGTTTTAATTTTGTTTTTAAATTCTGTGTTTTTCTGATAAATGGACTCATTTTTTAAGTCAACATTACACTTTTACACTGACAGCAGCAATCGCAGGCGAGACACAGCGTTCCACAGAACCCCTTACGATTTTTTTAATTTTGCAAGCATTCATCTTTATTCTCCTTTCCTATCTTTCACGCCCCTCTCTCCCAATTTAAAGGGTTTATGATATGATGCGTTTTATGTTCAAATACTGTTTATAGCAAATGAAAAGTCAGTCATTTGAAATATAAGGAATATTACATATCAGAACTGAGTTAAAAATTGATCAATTAAAATTTCGAGATTTGTGATGGGTCAGCTTGACCGTTAATGCAATCGTAAGGCATAACTGCTGATGTTCATGCTACCCGAAGCTGAAGGCCTATTCATTTGAGCTGACCCATAATAAGACTAAAGGCATAAACATCATGACCAAAAACACCTGAATATATTTCACACTTGGGTCTTTTTCAAAAAGACTTTCAAAAGACTTTCAATCTGTAGAGTAAAACTTCAGATTCGTGTGTGTACGTTGATGTTGTTTCAACAATTTGTCGTATTTCTGAACATGTGACCAAGTCATACATGCTTAGAGATGGCTCAAACTGAATTTTGGAAATATTTTGGCAAATTTTGAGTAAAAACTCTTAGCAAGATGGATATTCTTAACCGTATCTAAAATTCAGTCGGAAATAAAGTAATCTTTTTCGTTTAGAAACTAATTATTCATTTTGGTTATTGATATTCTTCAATGCAAAACTTTACAAAAAACATGTAATATTTGCAATATTGTATTAAAATTGTCCGCAATAGCAACTTATAATGCTGAATAAGAATTTGATTTATGGATACATATGTAAAATTTCCTGAAAATCTTTAAAGTGAATCAATAAGGCTCTTTGATTTTCAATTTCCAAGAAATTTCAGCAACTTTAAAAGTTTGACTACGTGAGTGAAACACATTGCTCAAACATCTGTTGTCATGTTTGTTGCAAATTTTAAAATAATCTGCATTCGTTCATTCATTCAATTTAAAAATAAGGAGAATGTGGAAGGATTGCAAATGAGACAACTATCCGCCAGAGTTCAAATGAAATGGATGTAAGCAGTTATAGGCGGCCGTACGCCTTCAACAATGAGAAAACATCATACCGTCTATAGTCGGCTATAAAAGTCCCCGACATGAAAAATGTGAAACAATTCAAACAAAAAACTAACGGCCTTATTAATAATAAAACAATTTACGAAAAACAAATATGACAGACATAAACCAACGACAACCACTGAACTACAGGCTCCTGACTCGGGACAGGCATATAAAGAATGTGGCGTGGTTAAACATGTGTGTAAGCGTTAAACCCTCCACTAATCTGGAACAGTGGTGTAACAACACAACATAAGAACAAACTGTAAAATAAGGAGCAATTGGCTTAACTTAAAAGATCAGTACGAGGAACTAAAACAACTAATATAAAAACAATAGACACAAAGTACCGAAATAAGAGAAAGTAAGTGCAAAGCCAATAACTACTTATAAATAAATCATGTTCTCCCAGGCTAAACTACGTTTTGAATAAAATCTAGCATTTTGAATTGTTATGAGAGCAATATGTTTAGTTTGCTGTTTTGAATGTAAATGCACAAAGAATTATATTGAAACAGAAGTATGTTTTTCCATAGAAATGTAGAAGTATCCATGTCAGATGAGAACCCAAAGGCAACACCAACCAGAGGTGTATCACAAATATCTGATGGTAAGTGAAGTAAGACATGATACAAGAACGAAGTGTAGTATTCTTTTCTCGTTTTGTTAAATACTTTTCAAGTACAGTTGATGTAGAAAAAAAACTATGCATATTTTCTGTTTTTAAATTTATTTCGATAATACAGAAAAGTTAGTCTTTCATTACATTTCAATCTTTAAAAGAAATCTGATATTCTACAAAAACAAATTGACAGTTCCATTCACTTTCAATTACCCATGACATTTCTGTCACTTTAAATATGGTTTAAATTACAAATTTGTTAAGACTAGATCAATGTAGTCATTTACAGTAATTGTTTTTTTCTCAAATAAAGTTTTTTCTTCTAATTCTATGGCAACACCGCCTGGCATTGCGCAGCCGTCTTATCCTCTCTTCTAACTATAGCTTATTAAAATTAGCTTAATTTCGGTTCAGGAAGTGGTACCTTCTCGTTCACTTGGTAATAACGACTAATCTCAATACACGAAGTATTTTTAAAATACAGGAATAAACATCTACTCATCTCATTTATATGCAATACATGTCCTCGCTGGGTCCTCTGTTTAGTTTCAAATGTACACATCATTTACATACATATATTCATGCTAATTGTAGAAATGAGATGAGGTGATGTAATAAATACTGAGACAACTACAATGTAATCAATTAGGATAATTTTTAAATTTTAAATGTTAACCAATCGATTAAAATTATAATTGTTAAGTCGTTTTCTAATGACACTTGGAAAGGAGGCAAACATGTATCTAAAGTAACTCTTAACCTATAATTCATCATTTGAAACAAAATTAAGAGGAACGAAACAGCGGTCTAATGTAGAGAGGCAAAAATAATATGACAAATTGGAAGACGATAACAAGATTTGGACTACATATGCAGCTTCTGTTGCTATGAAAGTATGTCCAGTGGACGATCTTTCAATACGATATCTTGTAAAAAAGTTGGAGAATACATCTTGCATTTCGCTGATACGATAAACCGGATATGGTACTCTCTGTTTCTAAAATCCTCAGGTTGACTTGTCATCCCTTTGCGACATATTGTCTTAACTCTGAGCTACCAGTCCTTATAAAAAAAAAGTTGCGTATGATTTTACTTAGACAACTATTTACTAAAAAAGCAAGGAAGCAATAAATACATGTTCAGTAAAAGGCGGCCTTCGACAATGAACAAAGCCCATACCGTATAGTAATCCTTAAATGACTCCTGGATAATAGAATGTGAAACAATTAAAAAGAAAAAAAATGGCTTTAATATAGCTATGAATATTAAACAAAATGTTTTTCTACATACAAATTAAAATCAAACAACAATAAGACAGAACAAAACAAACAAATACATCGTCTGTATATGTCTATCTCTTAATCTGTTAATAGAGAGATTCTATGATTGGTAGACTATATATGACTTTAAAATCTTACATATGATTATCCTTTTATTGCAGATTCCGGGATTTTCAGTCTTCCGAATACACCTGGTATTATGCTTCACGTGTCTGTAATATTCAAAGGTATGTAGATATATTTGTCTGCGCAATCATATCTTCATCAGTTGTAATTTATTGTTGAAGTTCTGAAAATGTTAATATATAAATAACCATTTTATTTTTGTTTTCCAGAGAGAACTTGTCTTGAGATTATTTGTTATTAACCTTCCTAAACCTTTCCTGCACTAAATATGAGTGTCAATTGGTCAAAATATGAAAATATTCTTTAACTTAAAGTTATCACACATTACAAGCCAGTGCTATTATACAATTCTCACTTCGCATAGTCGCTTATTGTTATGATTAAATAAATTAACTACTAAATAAAAGTAATCATGAACAAAACAAACAAATTTACTTCTGAAAGTTAATAGATCTTAATAAATTACTACAGTCAGTGAACAAAACTGAGTTCCCACAAAAAAATGTCCTATCATTTCAACTAAAATCAATATTTTTTTCAAAAATATATTACCAAGTAACTTTATGGGCGATATTTATTAAATAATGCCATAAGCTGTAGAAATGTCTGAAGTTTTATTGTTTATTTGGCCATATTTTTTGTGAGGGTCGTTTTCTTTTTCTGATGGGTTAAACACGAATGCAAATTTTTACGATTTTTATTTGGTTAGAATGCATAGCAAACGTTTCCAGAAATATTTTTGTTTATGTTCACCTCATCAGAAAATTAAAATAAGCCGGAATTATATCATGGATAAATAAACAATGCAACTTTTAACATTTCTACATCTTGTGGTATTTATTTGATATAAATTGTCATTTGACCATGAAGTGACTTTGTAATATTTTTTTGAAGAATATTGAATTTAGTTGAAATGATAGGACATATTTTGAGTGGGAACTCACTTTTGTCCTCTGACTCTAAGGTGCCATAACTACTTTACCGGAAATGGTTTTAATTGTAAAGTATATATTCAAAGTGTTAAATTTTTTTTGTAAATTCATTCCCTGCCTTATTGTTTAGAAATTAATTCATTTATAAAAAACTATTAAATTTCAAATAAAATTTTATTTTCTTTAACGCAGGTGTATGTAGTAAAAAAATCCAACAAAATTTTGGTTATACAAAACGACATATAAATCCAGATTTAGTTCTCGAGGAAATACAGGCCATTGCGGTGGATATTTTCTCCGACAGCAAGTTAGCAGAGTTAAGCGAGACACGAGAAAGACATAGAAAAACAGACCGCCTCCTAAAACATATACTAAGAAAGGGTGAAGGAGTTTGCAAGTGTTTCCTGAAGTGCTTGCAGAGTGAGAGTATCCAAGCAACATTCATTCTTGAGGATCTACGAGTTTTCAAAGGTAATTCTATCTTCAAGTATCTAAACTATAAAAATCGAAGGGCATTGGCATTGGTCACTTGTAACACACAGCTGTATATACATGTATATTGCTTTCTGTGTTTGGTAGGATAGAAACAAGCTCTTTATGAATTCAATTAAAATTTAAAACTCTGCAATGAATACATAACTTTTAAAGTTCATGTTATCATTGTAAGTTTTATTTTAAATAGCTATAATTACAAATCCTTTTTTAATGTTTTACACTTATACTATGTTGTATTGTCTTTATTGTTATATGTTATTGTCATCATATTACAAAATGGGTGTTTTCATCCAAAAGGGTATCAGAGAAAAATCTCTTAGACTGATTTCACACAATGTAAACGGTGCCCACTGTGAAATGTGCCTTCGCGTTCTCGGTGTACTGTGACTTCCATTTTGCAACACCAAATGACAAGAAGACATTCATTTGGTTTGTTTATTTTGTTTTCTATATTGATCCTTTAATTTTCAATAACAAGATATATGACAGAATGAATTTTGCATGCATTAATTGCATATTTGCATAAAAATATTAATGCAATTTATAAGTATTTTTGTGTATTGCCAGAACGTCTGATTGCTCTCCAAATTTTTTATAATTTGTAAAACAATAGTTTGCAAATCCTTAATGATGAATTAAATCCCTCTTCCAAATAATTTATCTTTGATATAAAAGAAGCGTGATCCTTAATATTGCTGTGTTCTTTACGTGGAATGAATATACGTAGTAGGTTTAGTTAGCAAGTGTACTGTGACTTCGCGTTCATAATCTGAAAGACTGTACTTTATCTTCACGTTTGTAACTACTGTGACTTCGTGTTATAGTATCAACATCAGCTATCCGTTTTCTTATCGTTGGATGAGATTGGTTTGTAATTTTAGCTTCACCATATCCTAACCTTATAAGCTTTGTACGAAACTTTTTGTCGATGTATACACTGTCATTTTCTGACAAAATATCCTTAAACCGGAAAATTATAGTGTGTCTTTCTATGTTGTGATGTTACACTATTGTTTCAGGTAAGCCGGGTGAAGGCTGGTACCTGTTAAAACGTTTAAACCCGCTGCATTTGTTTGCACCTGTCCTAAGTCAGGAACCTGATGTTCAGTGGTTGTCGTTTGTTGATGTGGTTCATAAGTGTTTCTCGTTTTTTTTTATATAGCTTAGACCGTTGGTTTTCCTGTTTGAATGGTTGTACACTAGTCATTTTTGGGGCCCTTTATAGCTTTATGTTCGGTGTGAGCCAAGGCTCCGTGTTGAAGACCGTTCTTTGACCTATAATGGTTTACTTTTACAAATTGTGACTTGAATAGAGAGTTGTCTCATTGGCAGTCATACCACATATTCTTATACCTAAACACACATGGCTGTATTGGGTTCGCATGTGTAAAGTATCTCCTCTTGCAAACAATTTATCGGACATTTGTACCAGGCTGGAGGCTAATCCAATAATCAACTTTTAGTCTGTCATCCAAAGACACATCAAAGGGTAAGGCTATTTTAGTCCACTACCGACGAAGTCGAAGGGGACTTTAGGTTTGCACTCCGTCCGTCTGTCTGTCCATCCATCCGTCAGTCCGGCAAATCAGTTTTCCACACTTTTTTCTTCGTCCTTGAAGATATTGGTATGATATTTTGTGTATAGTTTTATCATGACATGTTACAGATCAAGTTCGAATTTTGTTCCGGTCTGATGATTTTGTGCAGAGTGATGGTTCTTCGACTTAGGAAATTCACTCAAATAATCAGTTTTCTGCACTTTTTTTCGTTATGCTTGAAGATATTGATTTGATAATTGGTATATAAATTTATCATGACAAGTTACAGATCAATTCGAATTTTGTTCCGGTCTGATGATTTTGAGCAGTTATGGTCCTTGTTTTACTTTTAGGTGTAATACCACCATTGATTTTCCCCTATTAGTCTTTGTTAAATTTGCACTTTTCAAAAAATTGTGCAGAATTTATCTTTGTTTCAAATAAAGAAATACTTGGCATGAGTAAAGTTTTATCCTCTCCAGTACTATAGAAAAAATTTCACATAACATTTCATTGCATATAAGAAAATAACCATCACTGGAAGTTAACCAATCAAATTTTCCCCCTTTTTTAACCTGTATACAAGCTTTAGTAACCATGTAACCTCAAGTTTCCAAAATGTTCTATAGAAACCCCAAATAAAAAAATAATGGTGCTTTGAAATACCCAAGATATATGTTTATGACCCAGAAGTGTTTTACTGCAATGAAATGTAGGATCAATTACCTACAACTGTCTAATTCAAGGGAATATTTCTTTTCGACCTATTTTCGTATGCAACCGGATGTGACGTACTATGATTTGGTGGTATTACACCTAAAGAAGACTTTTTTGTTAAATAAACTGAATGTGACTTTTTTCCTTTGTAATACTGGTTATTTCAAGCATTCCTGTCAAGTTTTGTCATAATCAGTTCAATAGTTTGAGAAAAATCTAGTATAATGTAAGATGACATCTACAGCGATTCGAGCAAAATTTCTTCGAAAAATCCAAACCAAGCCACATCATGATAGAATATAGTGTGGACCAATAAATGATCAAATATTTATCTCATGTGCCTACAAACAGTTGAATATGATACAAAAGATGACTTTAGGATGATAAATACTACTAATGGACCTCTTTGTCTTCCTTATAAGGTCTCTTATGGTCCATTTATACCTCTCATTTCTTCAAAATTTCTACTTTTTAGGCCAATAAATAAAAATTTTAGGGTAACTTTCACTCATTTATGATAGAAATGTTATAATAAATGATTAATTGAAGTATTCAATCTGAATGAACTATCCGTATAAAAGTTTACTGTCTCCAAGGTGGTTTCGATAAGTCCTTACGTAAAACTTAAATTTACGCCGCGTTCCAGAGAGGGACATAAAAAGCTTCTCTTTTGGTGAATAATTTGTTGTTACTGCTTTAAAAATAATTTCATTTACTTAAAACTATATATTTATTAAAGTATTTCTTAGGAAAATTTTTCTAGTATAGCAGAATATAAGAAATAAGGAGAAAAAGCTCCCCAAAGCTCTAAGTATGGCTTGTTCTGTCAACTAATATTCATGGTAAAGTCCTATTTCAAGGAAATTTTCTCATAAAATGTGTTTTGGAGACTCAATCTACTCAGAATATTTCATTATTTGTAATATTTCACTTAAATAGCAAGAAATTTTAACACATGAGAGTACTCACAAGGTCAAAGGTGCATGTACAGCTTCCCATAAAGAAGACTTTTTTGTTAAATAAACTGAATGTGACTTTTTTCCTTTGTAATACTGGTTATTTCAAGCATTCCTGTCAAGTTTTGTCATAATCAGTTCAATAGTTTGAGAAAAATCTAGTATAATGTAAGATGACATCTACAGCGATTCGAGCAAAATTTCTTCGAAAAATCCAAACCAAGCCACATCATGATAGAATATAGTGTGGACCAATAAATGATCAAATATTTATCTCATGTGCCTACAAACAGTTGAATATGATACAAAAGATGACTTTAGGATGATAAATACTACTAATGGACCTCTTTGTCTTCCTTATAAGGTCTCTTATGGTCCATTTATACCTCTCATTTCTTCAAAATTTCTACTTTTTAGGCCAATAAATAAAAATTTTAGGGTAACTTTCACTCATTTATGATAGAAATGTTATAATAAATGATTAATTGAAGTATTCAATCTGAATGAACTATCCGTATAAAAGTTTACTGTCTCCAAGGTGGTTTCGATAAGTCCTTACGTAAAACTTAAATTTACGCCGCGTTCCAGAGAGGGACATAAAAAGCTTCTCTTTTGGTGAATAATTTGTTGTTACTGCTTTAAAAATAATTTCATTTACTTAAAACTATATATTTATTAAAGTATTTCTTAGGAAAATTTTTCTAGTATAGCAGAATATAAGAAATAAGGAGAAAAAGCTCCCCAAAGCTCTAAGTATGGCTTGTTCTGTCAACTAATATTCATGGTAAAGTCCTATTTCAAGGAAATTTTCTCATAAAATGTGTTTTGGAGACTCAATCTACTCAGAATATTTCATTATTTGTAATATTTCACTTAAATAGCAAGAAATTTTAACACATGAGAGTACTCACAAGGTCAAAGGTGCATGTACAGCTTCCCATATTAGGTGTAATACCACCATTGATTTTCCCCTATTAGTCTTTGTTAAATTTGCACTTTTCAAAAAATTGTGCAGAATTTATCTTTGTTTCAAATAAAGAAATACTTGGCATGAGTAAAGTTTTATTCTCTCCAGTACTATAGAAAAAATTTCACATAACATTTCATTGCATATAAGAAAATAACCATCACTGGAAGTTAACCAATCAAATTTTCCCCCTTTTTTAACCTGTATACAAGCTTTAGTAACCATGTAACCTCAAGTTTCCAAAATGTTCTATAGAAACCCCAAATAAAAAAATAATGGTGCTTTGAAATACCCAAGATATATGTTTATGACCCAGAAGTGTTTTACTGCAATGAAATGTAGGATCAATTACCTACAACTGTCTAATTCAAGGGAATATTTCTTTTCGACCTATTTTCGTATGCAACCGGATGTGACGTACTATGATTTGGTGGTATTACACCTAAAGAAGACTTTTTTGTTAAATAAACTGAATGTGACTTTTTTCCTTTGTAATACTGGTTATTTCAAGCATTCCTGTCAAGTTTTGTCATAATCAGTTCAATAGTTTGAGAAAAATCTAGTATAATGTAAGATGACATCTACAGCGATTCGAGCAAAATTTCTTCGAAAAATCCAAACCAAGCCACATCATGATAGAATATAGTGTGGACCAATAAATGATCAAATATTTATCTCATGTGCCTACAAACAGTTGAATATGATACAAAAGATGACTTTAGGATGATAAATACTACTAATGGACCTCTTTGTCTTCCTTATAAGGTCTCTTATGGTCCATTTATACCTCTCATTTCT